ATATTTTTTTTTTTTTAAACGGGATCAGAACCATTTTGGTAAATATAATAGTTTTTGAGATATTCGAAAAAAAAACTTGCAAAATCCTGAGAATTGTGAAATTTGGTATTTTGCATAGGTAACTTTCGAAAAAAAATAATTTTTTTCATTGGCAGAACTTTATTATATGATAAGAGAAACGTTGTGACCAAAATTTTGCCAAGCCAAAAATGTTGGACTTCAACCATTGGTCGATTTGTCATAAGTTTACCCATATTTAAAACAACGTAATATGTACTGCATATTTAGTAATGTACATAAGTGGTGCGGCCTAAGCAAATTTGGTTGTGTTTAAAATATTTCCTATTAAATACGATTACTTCTATTTAATTCAAGAAATATAGTTTTTGAAAACTGCGTTGATTTGAAGCGGAATGGAGGAGCGCAACCGGGTGATATATTATAAAATCATGAGTATAAGTATAAGCTTGAGCTTGTATACGACTTATGAAAATGCGTACTCCAGCTGCTCGCGTTGCATGTCTTGCGGTTGTTATTGACTGCTTCTGTGCGACGAATTCATTTCCCAGAAAATCGAGTATGTTGTTGACACGAATCTCCAGTGTGAGAACATTTCAATTTGTAAGTAGTTAGTGTTGGCTGTTTCGTTGATTCTGTTATGAAGTTTGTTAGATAAAGTTGTTTAGATTTATGCTCACCGAGTGAACAGAGGAAATGAAATCAAGAATATTGAAGAACATCCGAACAAAGGTTGAGTTAGCGTATTCTGTTTGCATTTAGGGTACCGTTGTTAGACTCACGAATTGACTGCATTTTCGACATTTTTACGTCTAAGTTCAAACCTAAACTTAAAGGGTATTCCTAAAGGTAATTTTTTTTCATGCCATCTATTAAATTTCAATGGTCACTAATTAAAAAAAAAATCACTTAATGAGAAACGGTCAATACCCAGCATTCGACATTATTGTTTTTATTGTATTAAATCCTATACATTTCCACACAAATATTTCTGCAAAACTTATCTCTTTTTATTCATTCAACAAATGGTTCATATAATTTCACATTTTTCCTTCAACACTTGTTCGCACACATAAAACATACATATGTATGTATGTATATATAATACCAGTATCCTCTCTTTTTGCGCCTTTCTCCATGCTTTTCGTTTTCTTTTATTTTTATCTTGATACATTTGCAAGCCTTGTCCACAAGTCAAGTAAGCCTTTTAAATGCCGTCGGGGCGTATGAGTGATATTTTGTTGCCAGTCAGCTTGTCAATGTTGGATGTTAATGTGAAAAACGCCAACAGATAATGTTGTGAACGCACGTATGTTTTAATATTTGCATAAAAATGTGTTGATTTACTCTAACATATGCTCCTAAGCATCACTTTATGCATAAATTTGTTTGAATATATTAATATGTATGTACAGACATAAAAAGGATTTATATTAAAAAAAAATAAAAAATTTCGATCATACATAGTTTTACGCAACCTAGTTTTTTATGAATATAATATAAGCACTAGTTCTAATAAATTTTTTTGCATGTTAGAAAAATATTACATTTATACGTTATTTGATTTTTTTGTTTATTTTTTTCTCAACAAGCGGCAACCCACTTCAAAAGTATTTTGGAAATAAAGCCTTCTTAAACCTTTTTGCCACAAAAAAAATGTTTCATGTAATTGGTCAATTAAATAGATTTTGAGGTACTAAACTGGTGGCAACCCTCATCAAAAATATTTTCGGAATAAAGCTTTCTTTAACTTCTCTCGTTGAATGTCTGCATTGCTGCAATATTTAATTTGAGTTTTGTTTTAATATTTCGTATAAATTGTGTATTAAATTGAATTTTGATTTCTAAATAGGTAGCAACCCTCATAAAAAAGTCTTCGAAAAACAGATTTCTTAAACATATCCCGTTTAGTATCCGTATTAAAATATGTATATAGTTTAACTTGTTATTTTAATTACTAAAAAGGTGGCAACCCGCGCTAAAACCATTTTCGAAAAAAGCTTTACTTAACATTGCTGAAATTGTTTCAATAATTTCAGCTGAAATCTGTTTTGTTTCTTACTTTTTTGTTAAAGTTGTTTTTTATTAATTGTATTGTAACTCCCTATGGAATGTTTTTTTAAAAAATTTTTTTTAATTTTATTAAAATTTTTTTTATATCTTTTTTTATAAAAAAAATCACAAACATTGTTTATACCCAAAAATACAATTTGTTGCCAAAAAGTATTTCTTTCCACACAGAAGGGTAAATTTTTTGTAATTTTATTAAACATGTTCTTCATTATTTTCTTTAAAAATCTTAACAAATAACATTTTCTTCAAAATCATTTTTTTTTTAAAAACTACCTACTTTTGCATCTTAAAAATTACTTTTGCTTTTTTATTTTTCCCTCAAAAATTATTCTTCCGAGAAGAAAAAATTTTTATTGCAAAAATGATTTTCCTCTGAGAAAACTCTTTGCTTGGTAAATTTGTTCTGGTTTTGGTAGAAATATTTTTTTCATAAGAAAGTATGTTTTTATATTTTTAATATTTTTGTTCGTAAAAACAATTTTTGCTCTAAAATCCGTTTTCCTAAAAAAGTCCACATTGAAAAAAATATTTTCTTATCTTGACAAACTGTCCTAATTTCGATAGTTCTTGCAAAAATTTCTGGAAAAAATAGCTTAATGAAATAGAAAATATAAAACTACTAAAAATACAATTTTCTTATGAGATGAGTAACATTTTTGGGAAAAATATTTTTCTTAGTTCTGCAAGGATCAAACCGAATACGACGTGACTAAGGACTTTGGAATTAGCGGCTAGAGCTTGCATGGAAACCTTAGCAACAGCGGTTGGTTAGTGATGATGAATCACTAACGAGCCAATCTGGACATAGATGAAAAAGTGTCGCTAGACAAAAAGTTCGAGTTGTGAATCTCAACCTAGGTAGTGACACAGTTGTTTGAGGAATGCAGCGTTTTTAATCGAATGAGGATACATTCGAAATTTCCAAGTTTCTGCTACCAACGTGGCTACAAACTGAACATTTTTTAATCTTAAAAATATTTTCGTAGCCTACTGAGGTAATAGTAAATCAATTGAACTACACTTTTATTAAGGTCACTTTGGTTGCGATCAGCTAAAAGTAAAATTCTCGGCAGCGTTCAACTGGGCATCATAATTACTAAATGAGAATTTGTGTGACCAGTTTGACATTAACGTGGCACAATTATGTCCAAGTAATGGAAAACGCTCACGTAAGCTCAGTTAATACTACGGTATATTTGCAAACGTACTTACTTTTGTCTGTGTCTACTCCACATACGACTGTTGCAAATTCTCATTATGTAGACACAAGTATACCATTACACCTGCAATATAGAGCGCAAAATTATGTGCAAAATGTCATGTGACAAGTGTCAAGTGTAAAGAGATAAGTGAAAAGGCAGTTGTCATGTCACAGTATACCATTGTCTGTCACATAGTCATATATTTAACATAAAGCATTTGAATGTATATGTATATAAATTGTCATACGAGTAATACAAATGAAAAGTAATGTAAGTTAGCCAACTGATGGAAAACATTTATGAGTAAATATCACTCAATAGTCAGTATGCCAGTCATATTTAATAAAAAAAAATAAAAACTTTCTGTGATGCATCAGTTAGTAAAGCGTATACACGCACCCAAGAGTTCCTCTAACAAGTCGGCATGGCAGGAATATCCTACTTTTTATAGTCAATTGTGTATCGTAGAAACAGTCTTTGGACATTTTAATAGTCATTTTTACTGAAGCATGGATTTCAGCTGACAAACAGTTAGCTATTGGGCGCTTGAAAGCCTCCTTCAGTCATATATGGGTGTTTCCAGCGGAAGGTCCACCACGACAAAAAAAATAAAAGTTTTATATCTAACGTATTTACGGGCCGATTTGTCTGCTTTTTACAAAGCTTTTATCAACTTGCAATGTTGTGTTCCAGAAACTTTCAATGTTGTGGATCCAGAAACTTTCAATGTTGTGTTCCGACACCAAAGCAAAGCTTTGAAAAGCTCCTATAAAAAAGCATAGTGAATAGGGCGAGGTAGATGACATCTAGATGTCGCCCTATATACTACGTTTGCTACACCGGAAATAGACGACACGCCTTTTCTTTAAATAAAATTAGTTCGACTATTGTCAACTAAATCGAATGCTTTGTAAGTGAAGTGACTTGTGGACCACTTGAGGTATAGGTGAACCAGTTGGTAACCACTTTGGGACCAGTTGGTAACTAGTTCATGGGACCAGTTGGTAGCCAGTCGGGGACCAGTCCGGGAACCAGTTGGGAACCAGTCTGGGACTAGGCCGAAACTACTTACCTTCGGGCCAGTTGGGGACCAGTTGGTCTTTTTAAGCTCCTGTGGCCGTTTTAAGGGTAATTCTTGGGCTCCTGCACTGCCGCTCGGGGTTTCTGCCTTCTACGGTGGTAATTTTGGGCCGGGTTGCCTGTTTTGGCGGATTGTTGTGCTGTGTGCCGCGTATTACATGTACCGGGTACCACTTTCTCGAGCGAATTGCTCTGGGGAACCTGTTGTGTGAGTTGCTGGCTTTTTGGCTAGACTTTGAGGAGGGTTTATACACGCATATCGGCGGAAATAGACGACACGCCATTTCTTTAAATAAAATTAATTGGTGCTCGTTTGTATGTACATACATATGTAAATGCATGTGTGTGCACCTTTCTATTAATATCGTTGAATTATTTTAATATCTATTGCAAAATTTTA